CCCGCTCCTGCCTCCAACTTCCATCTGCAAATGAACCCTCAGGTCCTCTCCAGGCAACAAACCATCCCTTCCCACTCGTCACGTTGCCTCAACCCCCCCCCCCCTCTCCCGCCCTACCATGTTTGCTCAATCGCACAATCCCCCGAACGTCGAACCAAACCACAATCACTGGAGCCTGGATTCTCGACGGGGCTGAGCCGAGTTTCATCACTTGCCAAGTTGTTTACGTTGCAAAACGCGGTGCGGCCGGAGGTGTTTTGCGGCAGGGTTGATGTTTGTTTTCGGGCAAAACTAAGGTCGGTGAGGGGCCGACATTTTTTGCGGTGCTTTCGCCATTCGCTAGGACCCGTTCGGGGGAGGTTTTTTTTTTTTTTTTATAAATTTGGCGTCATCATTCGAGCTGTGGCAATATTTCGCGTTTTATCCGTTAAATAAGGCTTTTGCTGGTGCTGTTCCGACAAAGCTGAGCGTTTGTCTCTGTCTGTCTCTGATAAGCCGACCGATCATCGTATCTGTGTATTAATGCGTTTCTTGTAGCAGCAGTCGAATTTCGATGATTGTTCTGGGGCTCTGTGTGATGTGGCTGCTGACGGCGTATTGCACTGCGCGCAACAGTCCGGCGCTTGGAGCCGACGAATCGTGGGATCTCGATGGGCCCTGTCAGCCATACATCAAGGTACTGTTGTTGTTCTTCTCAGGCCCCCCAGTTGCTAGAGCCCCCGTCCTAGCAGCCGGGAGTGACTGCTTGTGATACGCAACAAACAAACACACATACATACACAGTAAGAACATCACGAAACAGCTAATCCCTTGCCAGATGTGTGTATATTTATGTGTGTGTGTGTGTGAGTGTGAGTGTGAGTGTGTGTGTGTGTGTGTGCCTGTGTGTGTGTGTGTATGTTGGAAGAGCCATTAAGCTGGCAGTGTCATCAGAAAAGGATTTCAGCATCACTAGCCAATGTTGAATTGATTGTAGTAGCCGGGAAGTAACTCGAATTGATTGTAGCAATTCGATGGATGCTTTTTTCACTAAATTTAATTAAATCGTGCTAATATCTATTTCTTTTTTTTGGTATTTTTTGCCTAAAACGTAACTGGTTTTGAACGCATTCGTTAGGTTGGCAAGGAATTGCCTGGTGCTTCATAGTTCGGCTTTTTATTTCTTCATCTGGCAGCTTTTCCACTAGTTCTGTTGGGGAAACATTGTTAGTCCACAACTTTGGCGTAGGAGTTCTTTATCTCAATCGTGGCACACCTCAAAGCATGCAAAAATATCAATTTTTAAGCAGCGGAGAACCCAGTGAAAGCTAAATTCTCTTCCGAATTGTTGCTCGGCCTAAATTTTGTACCCATTTAATGAAATTTCGCATAATTTTTGGCAGTTGTTTGCATTCTGTTGAAGATAATTTCGCCTCCTCCCACCACCTCGGCTCATTTTTACGCGTCTTTTGCAGCTGTGCAGTGCAGAAAACGCATATTGACGAGGGGTTGTCCCTGTGTTTATGTGTATGTGCGTTTGTACCGATTTTTCATCTCAAGACCTGCAAAAACTTTGGGAACTTGATCTACATGCGCGTACGGGCCCCAATCTCCAAAATGGGCGCTCTTACCCGCGTGGTACCCACGTGCGGGCCCGTGAAAGTTTTTTTCGAGTAACTTGCTAACTCGAGAGCCTGGAAAGCTAGAAAGTTGAAATTTTAAGGGGATGTTTTCTGACAGTCCTGACGGCCAGTCTTAATTTGTTTAGCTAAAAGCATTTGCCGGAAAAACCGGTACCGGTAGCGGCAAAAACTGCGGGGAACGGTGCAAAAAAACGCATCTTCGCTCCGGCAGCGGGTGCGTTGGTCAGTTACTTTCTTTTGCATTTTCCCCTTGTTTTGCGAGTTAGCCATCTTATCGCACTGATGCACCACTGGTTTTTTATCGTGTAAATTTGTTGGTAGTCGTAACTTCTGGCTTGATAGTTGTGCATTATTGAATTTTTGTTTATTCTCTTTTTTCCCCATTTTTTCCACCAGCCCAAGTTTGTTACTTAAGACAAAGTCAGAAACCAGAGCTCTATGCACATTCACTCTTAAGGCAATTGAGCAGGAGTGGTACCATATACAAGCAGCAACCAGCCACTTTCGCGGATTCACAGTCGAAATTAATGAATGATTCTTAGGTAAACTGGTTAAATTACCTCAGTTTTTTGCATATTCTTTGTTTTAATGCTTCTCTTTTAATGAGCTTTCTTTGAGAGAGTCTTCCGACTTCTTGGTTTTCCCAGTGAGTATTTATTACTTACTGTGCAATAAAAAATTGCAGAGATTCGCAGATGCAAGTTCGAAAATGGTCAACTGTGCAGCTACGTACTCCTCGCCACCGAAAGTTTGCACATATTGCACCGAGGAATACGTTGCACTAAAACATATGGAATATCACTTACATAAATTGGTTAGTCTCGTCAAGTTTTTTTTTGCAAAAACTTGCTTTTTTGGAGAGTTGATGGTGCTCATTCATAGTATGTACGGTAAAACATCATTGGCGACACGCACCAGATGAACTGGTGTGATCATGCGTTTTTGCATTATTTCGTGTTGTAGCAAGATCGCAGGGAGTCAGAATAGCTAGAATTTGCGACAGACTGGTCCTCGAAGTTCAGGAAGTTAATTGTGCACTTTTGTGATGTGTCACTTATCGATGTCGACTTCAGTGACCGACAGCAAAAAGTTGCTGGTGCACGAAAAAGGATGCTTTCCTGCCAAAATTTTCACGTGTTGGTAAGTAAGACTGGGCGGTTCTAAGGAGCTGAATTTGACATCTTTTGGTCGTATATGAGTGGGGAACATTTTTGTAAAGTTTCAGCTTCCTAGATGTTCCTGAGTTTGCAACTTTTCCATCAGAATTTCCACATCTCCGTACGTGAGACGCAGACAAAATTTCGGCCTCAAAGCTTGCGTGGCTGTTGAGTAGAAATACCCGAACAGACGAACACAAACACAAACATAAATACGTATGTACATACGCACAGACAGGCTCCCCGCAATATGCGTTTTTGCTACCTTTTGCAGCGCTCTAGAGCTACACGGCAAAAACGCATAAATCTGCTAACAAGGCGATTTAAAGTTCAAGTCCCGGCGCAACATGAACACAGCTTCGGCTCCTAAAATACCAAGTTGACTGTTGACTTTTAAGAATTGCCATGTTCAGTCATTAGCGCTGCGTCGCAGAGACAAGACTTCCTGTCCACCTTGTTGGTTTAAGACTTTGCCAAGAAAGATGGGCGGGTTATGGATGTTTAGCTATATTTAATGTAATTTTTGTTTAGCCAAATTTAAGCAGGATGTCACTGTCAAGCTTTTTACCGAGCCGGAGATGTTACAGTGCGGAAACAGTGAAGTTTAATGTGATGGTAGGGCCACATAACACAATTGTTGATAACAACGAATGACGTTGGTACGTGGAAGCCGGTACTGTAGCTCGCGCAAGAACCACGAAAATTAGTGCCTTGAGCAGAATCCCTTTTTGAAAATATATGGGTTTGCAGCGATACGGTAATCTATTGGTTAATGCATCATGATTCAGGGAGTCCGAAAATAGTGCAGATGAGAAGTCCAAACCTTTGTAAGCGGGGAGGGGAA